TCAAATTTATTAGAGTACGTGGTGCACCTACTTACTGATATTTTAATTACTGCTTACTGACATTTAACATTAATCATTTAATTATAATAATAAATTACAATTAAATCAAAAGATCGAAAAACGGTTTAACCTACAAGGCATATTCTCATACATTCGAAAGATTTCATAGTTTCATACACAGCACTTAAGCACCGAAACCAAATACCGAGATTTTAGATATCATGAATGTCGTCCTATTTTTGGTCACTTACTTTGCCAGAGCCCGGAGCGCTACGATCAGATGGTCAAAATCTAAAGACAATCGGTGACCGGTGACCGCTGTCCGGTATCCGCGGACGGTCTCGTTTTCCAAGACAATCACGTCCCGGTGCGCCTGTTCTTCGCAATCGTTGCGTCCGTAAAAATAACGGCAGAGCGTCGGTGTCGTGGTGCCGCGGCCGATCCGCTGCGAGCCGCTGGCCAACAGGAACGGAGCGATCCGTTCGTAGAACAGAATCTCGTTGTGGAATTGATTGTCGTTTTTATAACACTCCCGTAACTCGGGTGTCGGGTACTTGAACTTGAACACGAGCCGATGGCTGCGGCGTCGGCCGTCGCGGTCGTCGACGGTGGCCAAGCCGTACAGCACGCACGACGCGAACTGATTCTGTTCGGTGTGCAGCCCTTCCAGTTTGAACGAAACGAGCAGGCTGTCCGGCCCGAACGCTCCGACCGCGGTCATGTCCGCCAACGTTTCGTCCAATTTCGCCGCCATCGCGTTCGGCCGCTGTTACACGAACAGTCGTGATGCCGTCGTGTTCGCGTACGTGTGGTCGGAGTGGCACTGACGGAACGATACGTATCGCCAAGGCTTGTGCTGGCGAATTGAAATCGGATCTCGCTGCCCCCAAACAATGTTTCCATTGAATTACAATGATTATGCGTCATAATTTGATATTATTATATTTGGTGTAATATTTATATTTTGGACATTGACCTTAGAGGTGTTACGGACTTACGGTGACCGTAATAGGTTATCATCCAAATATACACGCTCGTTTGTATTTTATGCTCGCATCCGATAACGGTGATAACTACCACAATGGTAATWTTTTCTTTTCCGATGGTATTTCGCTTGGAAATCTGATCATGGTCGACGACGTGCGGTTATCTAAGCATGATTAAAAATGACAACATTTGATTTTTTTAATGGACTCGAAATGACCTACATTGCTAATTTAAAATACGATAGGTGGATGTATTTTATTTGATCCATCCGTATCTTTGATTTTCGAAGAATTCATAATAAAACCGGATTTCGCACATGAATGTATTAGGTATACATATAATAAATCAAAATGAAAGTTGAGAATGAGTGAAATCTATTAATCAAATACACGAAATATTTCGCTGTGGAATTGAAAGTCTATTTTAAAATGGACTCTCATGTTCTCATTACGAAGTTTTAACTTAATCACAACATTATATTTTGATTCATCAGATGTGGTGACTTACCAAATA